TAGTGTGTTTTAGATGTAAGCAGAGTTTGAGAGCTAAATTAAAAATCATATCAAAGTGTTTGGCGGCCCCTCTGAACTGTCGTCATACCACCCACTTTGGGAAAGTCTACCCTAGAGGGCACGTTGTGGTGGAGATTGTAGGGCACTTCATTCCATTTTCTTCAGTTTGTTTTTTTTGTTTTTTTTGTTTTTTCCTCTACATTTCAAGAGCACTGTTGTGTTTTCTTACTTGGAAGGGCATCTAAAAGGCACTGCGTGAGTTTTTATTCATCGGAAAGGCACCTGTAGGGGACGTCAAGCATATTCCGTTCTGAGGACACCTATACGGCACCACATCACACTTTCTCTACTTTCTAAACATGTCACAGAAATGTTATGTTTGCCAATCTGACCTGGCTTAAATAACCCAAAACCCTGCAGATGGCTGTCTGGCAGATTATTGACACCACGTCTTCCAGAAGAACTAGTTACACCTAAAAAAAAAAAACACATCTTCAATATTGCATAACTGACCTTTGTTGTGAACCTGTTATCAGTCAAGCAAGCTTTTTTCCACATCCCTGCACTTTCCAAAACAGTCACACCTATGTCGGTTGGATGACACCCAGGTTTCCTTTCGATTTGATGCTGTAATGAAGTTATGATGAAGTAAGGTTGTGGCTAATATTCTGATACCAATACAGATACATTTAAAAGTCTTCCTGTGCTTTTAAAAAAGGGAATTTTCATTTTTGTTATTTGCGATTGTAATTTCCCACTAAATGTGGATATCCAAAAATTATATTCGGAAGCCCTCACATTCATATAAACCCTTGTGTGGTGTTGATGTGTTTGTTACTTGGTGGTCTGGTGGACCCACCGCATTATTCTTTTTTTAAATCAGTACAGCCATAACAATTCATATAAAAATACCAAATGTTTAAAATATCACGAGTGGCCAGCGTAGGGTTCTCCTTTAGCAGCTGTAGCCAGTCAGCAGCCTGTCCCTGTTGTCCACCCTCTCACACACACACACATATATACACACACATACACACACACGGACACACACACACTAACAGCAGGCCAGGTAGGAGGAGAACGGAGTGAAAGGAAACAGCACCTCCACACGTTTATTCCCCGTGGGTTCACCTAACACCACATGTGTATAATATAAATGTTTAGGGGGTGAACAGTGTGAAGTCACTGAAAATGTGTTATTTTATATGTTCTTCACAGAAAATGAGCGAAGACCAAGAAATCTGAGGTTGAAATAATAATAAATGATCATTTTTTCTTCTGGTAAACATCGAAAATGGGTCCCACAGACCTGAACACCACACAAGGGTTAAAAAGACTGTGCTTGCATGACTGGCTTTTTATTATAGTCACATCGAGGCATGTTTTGCATTTCACTTGTGCTCCATCTGGATCTTCAAAGTTTTAACATAAATAAAGGTCACTGATGGAAATCCCATCCTCCAGCAAATGTGCTGTTACTGCAGTGAAATAATGACTGCAGTAAAAGTACACATACTTTTTCAAACAGCAGCTTGAGTACAAGAACAAAAGTAGCAGCTCCAAAAGCGACTAGAATATTAACTTCTAGAACTGGAGGGGGGCTTCATAGAACATCCAACACCCATCAGCACAGTAAGTGAGGTTTGTACAGCTCTAATCTATCACAAAGCAGCAAAGATGCTTCCACCAGCACCACAGAATGAAATAAAGCAGGAATGAATTAAAATGTTAATGACCGAAATGGAACAAAATGAAACTTTACTCACTAACAAACCGAGTAGACATGAAAGTAATGTCATCTGAAAATCCAGGACAGTACAAATCCATCTAAATCTTACTTAAGTACACAGAACTGAGTAAATATTATGAACTGCTACACACCTTTGACTGTCAGTGCTGTCTGTATCTGCTGATCAGTGCTGCAGTGTTCTCAGCTCTTCATCCTCTTTGAACCGCTCTGCTCATCACCATGTTGCATAACACACTGTCCAACCTGTTTCGTTTTAGATCAAAGAGAAACACCCCAACATTCAGGTGTTGAATTTCCTGAATTTTTCTTGCAGACCAGAACACAAACAACTTTTCAGGAGGTCATTATCACAGAGGTTTACATAATTAAGAAGAACCACTGAGTCATATGTAAACCAGTTAAATCGTATTACTGCTTATGACTACAAGTTATTTTGTCTTTCTGAAACAAACATTCATTAAAAATGTTTTCACATTTCATGGAAAACTGATTTTTCCTCACTTTTTTTCAGGGAGTCTTATGCAGTATGTAAATGCTAAAGTGTTAAAAAAAATTATGAAGGTTCAAAACGTACCATTCACTGCTCAGTCCATACAGTCCATATATGGAAATTAAGCTGTTTTGTCCACAAACATCTGTTTCACTGCAACAAAACATTTTCTGCTTCTGCAGTCTATGTTAGCTTCTTCATTTGCATAATGGGGTACGAATTTGCTGTACCACGAGAGCATTCCTAGGAATGAGCACAAGGCTGCTGTGGCTTTTGAAGCCAGCGCTTGTGTAAGGCTTGTAAATGTTCAGTATCAGGTTGAATGCCTTGTGCCATCTCTAAATGCCCAAGGAATCATACACTGGGTTGTCGAAGACGACACATCTTTTCATTCAAACGTGAGCCTGCACTGTTCAATGCTGCTCTCGCACCTCTATAGGTGAGGCCAAAGGAGACGCCTCAATGTGATCTATGATTCCAGCAGAAGGCAAATGTTTTTGTTTTTTTTAACACAGCGTCTCTCACTGTGAAGGGAAGATGTCTCAATTTATGTCATATTGTAATCACAGTCAGATACCATCATGTCATGCATGAATCCCTTAATACAACATATCAGTGATTGGTTGTTTTGAGTGGTGGAAAGCTGCAGGACAGGGGCAGAAGAGATGAACAATGAGCTGGCTCTAAAAGGCTCGGGAGGCATGGCCATGTGATCGGCCACATGTGGGGGCTCACAGTAGCCGCACACCCTCCTAAAAAGGAACTTTGATGTTGTTAAAATTTAGTTATTTGTTAGAGTTAAGATGTGTTGTGTATTATTCTGTGTTGGGGTGTGGGTTGTCAGTGTGTTTTGTGCTGGGGGTCAGTGTACCGTCAGCGTGAAGTGTATTGCTAGTGGTGACCTCCCCTGCAAGTTCAGTGCTTTGTATGTGCCTTTCTGCCCTGGTGTTTAATCATCACGTCTCATAATGGAATCCCCTGTGTCTTACTCTATGCTGATCAGGGTTAGGATAGCTACTGAAGAAATAGTAGTTAGCTACTTTGTAGCTACTTTCCCAAAGTTTGTAGCTAACTACAATTTAGCTATTTTTCCAGAAAAAGTAGTGGCTACTTTCTATCTACTGTCAAAGCGTGATTGTCAGAATGTTTGTGAATCTCCACCTGACACACCAAACAAGCCCAACTGACAGTGTGAATAAGACACTGCATTTAATCATGTGCCAGAAAGAAACAATTGAAAAGCTGCAAATATACAAAAAGATCACCAAAAAGTGAGTTTAAGTGTGACCAACAATCAAAGTTACACAACCAAAGGTGTGATATCCAACAAAACTTTACAAAAACACACAAACAACTAAAGGCAAAGTCAATCATTCCAGGTTTTTCCTAACAAAAATCAACAAAAATAAATGAATACATACCAAACAACTTTGTGCAAAGCACTGTCAACTGTTAAAATAAAACTGTTCCAATTAAAAAATTTCAGCATGATATTTACAGACATGACATTCAGAGTCCTTTAAACTTCAGCAACACTTTAGCCCCAAAATCCTCATCAGTGACTCTGGCTCTGTTTGGGTTGAGAATCAGGCCTGAATAATCTCTCCACTGCTGCGGAGCTGCTGCGGCTCCACAGCAGAACTAGATTTTTAGGTAAAATAACATAACATAATCCTCCTTTACTGTACAATCATTATAACACACAGTTCTAACACAGTTTTCACAATAAATGGTCTTAAACGCTGGAGTTAACGCATAACTGCTAATTCACCCTTTAACGCTGAAGACTGACGCGCAGACTGCTGGACACACAGCAACACAGATAACGAAATGGCAGAGAGAGAGATTTAAGACAAGCATCGATAATTTGGAGATGAATGGACTTATTTGCATTTACAAGTACTACAGCTGGTATCTTCATACATTTAATGTGCAACAACTTGCAAAGCTGAAGTCGCTTCTCATTCTCCTGTTTCTTGTTCGAATTGTCCCGTTCCACCTTAAATGACGCAGCAGTACAATCTGGCGCCTCAGAGAAGCAACTTCAGCCTCATAATAAGTTGAATGTTGAGAGACATTTTACAAGAATCTCGCGGAATAGTTTCCTGACTGAGATGCGAGAAAAGCGTCTATAGCTGACCTAAAGCTTAAAGCAGAGCAAAGTAAGTCTGCGTTTTCGTTTATATTTTTAGCCTGTACTAGGACATCAGCACATACTGAGACTTTACAGCCGAGATGGTAAAACGGACATAACATGTTGTGGCTCCCAAGGTGGTCTCATTTTTGTTGAAAGGACAAAATGGCTCTTCTTAACATGTTGGTTGCGACCCCTGAGCTAATCCTACTAGTAAGGGTGATCTGCACGTGACCGTTCACTCGAACTGTGCGCGGCTCAGTCAGGACTGCACAGTCGCCACCAGCCTGGTTAAAGACCGCATTCTATGGTTCGCATTTTGCGCGGATCACCTGAAGCCTGTAGCGAAATTGTAGTGGAAATTTTCGCTATAGCTACACAAAACTTTGTAGGCACTACAGCTATTAGCTACATTTCATACAACTGTAGTGGCTACAGCTATTAGCAACAAAAATTTGTAGTTAACTACAAAAAGTAGCGCGCTACCTCGCTACTCCCCCATCCCTGGTTATAGTGCCCACTCTCTTTATCTCCTATTTCTGATCTTTGTTTTTTTTTTTTTTAAGTTGAACTAAAGTTAACAGATACACTGTAATTACTCTAAGTTTTGGTAAAAAGCAACACAACTATGCATCCCAAAATTCAATTTTCATAACTGATCGGCCTCCAGTAGACATGGTTCCCTTCACAATGACATCTCCCCCAGAGTAAGTTAAGGTACTCCCTGTGCCTCTGCTTTTGGTGAATGGACCAGTGATATAATACATCTGGTAGGACAGAGCATCATCACATGCAGTGCCTGCTTCATAAATGCCGAGAGCAAAGCAGTTTTGAAACCACTTGTAGGCAAAAGGCACAGAGAACATGATGGCCAGTTCAGCAACACAGTCCTTTCTATTTCTGAGGATCTGATATGTCATGACTCCAAAACATCCACGAGGTACGCGTGCCATCTTGGAGAAGGAGCACACCTCTATGGTGTTTTTTTCAATGGTCGGTTGTGGAGGACGGAAACAATATCCATTGTTGGTGTGGACCCTGATACATGGAGAAAGAGAGACATAGATCAACAACATAGATCTCTAGCAGGAAACAGGCAGACAGACAACATGAGACAAGAAGGATTTTAACACATAATAAGAATAGCAAGATGATATCATCTGGTATTTGTTAAACTGATTACATTACTGATTGGCTGAATGACCTGTAATCAAAATGAATTGGTTCTAAAATTAATCTGTACTTGCTTTGGATTTGCTAAGATATATGTTTCACTGCGATTGGAGATTTGAATGGTGACATGTCTCCATGTTCCCATACTCTGGGATATCTGCTCGACAGAGGTGCCAGCCAGAGACGCACCAGCAGTAACAGCTGCAGGATCCATTGTCTGTTGTGAGCAAGAAAAGACAAAAATCACATAAACAAATATTCTTCTTATTATTACTTTCTATCCCTTAATATTCTTCAAGTTATTATAGTTTTCTAGTATTTAATTTAATCTAGCTTAAATATTAGACAGTGATAACCTAGGTAAACAAAAAATGCTGTTTTAAAATGATGATTTATGGAAAGGAAATTTTCAGCCCTATCTGGTCACATGTGAAAAAGTCATTGCCTCCTTAGCTACTAAATCAACCAGTTAAACAAAATTCAATTGACTGTTGGGCTCAGTTTCACCACCACATCCAGGCATGATTACTGCCACACCTGCTAAATCTAAACATCACTTAAACAGAACCTGGCAATATGAAGAAGACCAGAAGGTCTCAAAAAGCAGCATATGATGCCATGTTCAAAGACATTCAAATACAGATGCGAAACAAAGTCATTGAAGTCTACCATTCTGGAAAGGGTTAGAGAGCCATTGCTAAGGCTCTGGGACTCCAGCAAACCAGAGTGAGAGCCATTATTCACAAATGGAGTAAACTTGGAACAGTGGAGAACCTTCCCAGGAGTGGCTGGCCTACCAAAATTTCACCAGGAGCGCATCAACAACTCATTCAGGAGGTCACAAAAGAACCAGACGAACATCTAAAGAACTGCAGGCCTCACTGGCCTCAATTTAGGTCAATGTATGTGATTCCATGATAACAAAGACACTGGGCAAAAATGGCCAACCATGGGAGAGTTGCAAGGCGCAAACCACTGCTGACCAAAAACACAAAGACTCATCTTTCATTTGCCAAAACAACATCTAGATGACCCCCAAGACTTTTGGGATAACATTCTGTGGACTGATGAGTCAAAGGTGGAACATTTTGGAAGCCAAGAGGCCCATTACATCTGGTGTAAAGCTGACACTACATTCCACCATAAGAACATTATACCAGCAGTCAAACATGGTGCTATAGGTTTTGAATCAATCTTTATCTTCAACAAATGAAAGGATAATTTAAAAGCTGCATTATGTGTTTACTCATGTTATATATATCTTATTTAAATGAGTTGGATGATCTGAAACATTTAAGTAGCAAAAATAGAAGAAATCAGGTGAGGGGCAAATACTTTTTCACAGCACTGCATATGTATATTTTTGTGGTGCTTGTTGTTCCATGGACACCATGGTGCATACAGGGTAAATGTTCCTTGGAAAAATTGTTGTGAGATGAGAAGATTTGCCAGACTATCCTACCAGACAACCAGAACAGGGAATTTCCATCAGTGTGAAACTTAACTGTGGAGATTATTAGAGAACCTTTGCTGCATTGAGTCTGAGTAAGAGAGACTGCTGGAGGTGTCATTAGGATGAGCATGATTTTGTTGACTGAACCTTAAGATGCCCCTACCTTGCCCATATCAAAGACCTACTCTCTCTCTCTCTCTCTCTGTATTTGCCATTTATGTTACATTTCAAAATATATTTGTTATTCTAGTTTGTGGTCTTCCATTTTTTATTTTTTTCATTTTTTTGGGGGGTATTATTTCCCAATTTAGTTTTGTACAATTGCTCCCAATAGCTAGGTCATTCCCCAGTAGAAAACACATCCAGTGCTAGGAGGGTGAAGGCTAGTGTAGAAATTAGTTTGTTATTGTGTGAGTCAAAAATCACACTGACTTGGAAAACCCATCGGTTTAATCAGGAACATGAGAAACCTGGTGGGTAAGGCCGACGTTCCATGGCTCTACTAGCATGACTGAACTATACAGAAGAACCTGAGCACTCTGATTGGCCTAGCCACAAAACACATACATTTATGGTGGCCCACAGTGAACAAACAGGATAACCATTTAGCCAAATAATCAGCAGCTAGCATAAGCTTTCTCTAAGTGATGGGACGCTCTGCCACATCTTTTCAACCTGCTGCTAACACAATGTTGTTGAAGCTCAGCACACTTGTAAGAGAATGCTAACTGCTAACAGACACCTGTGTTGGCTAGCACTGTCCTGAGTGATGGGGGAGAAGGAGGACCACTGGACACAAACAGAGAGAGAGAGAGAGGACTGTTTTGATCTCTCAGTCTCCTGGACACAGATGGCTGTTGCATCACTGGTGTTTAAACTCGCATTTGCCTGCTGATAGGGTCAACTCTTAAACAGCTGCGCCCTCAGAAGCCCTGAGGTATGTTACATCATAGAACAGGATCATTATGAACAGGTGTTTTACATGCATTTCTAAATATTTCTCTTAGTCTTGCTTTGGCAAATTACCCAACAATTCAAAACAGGCTGTTTTTGCAGTTAAGTTTCTAAAAATTATTGCTAAAAAAATGACAAATGAATTATAACGCATATATAAAATAATTTAAGCTTGAACCTGTTAAATAACTTTACTTTTTTTTTTTTGAGGCAATAAGTTTGCATGAGCCAATATGTTTTCTGTGTGAACATGCACACACATTCAGAATGCAATTCACATCACTATAGAAACACTTATTATTGGTGTGTTTCATCAGAGCCACAATAAAGGTTTATCAAAATTGCAAGTCTATATCACAACAAAAGCAAATGTAGAAGTATGGAATGGTGCTTCTGAACATACACTACTTAAGAATACAAGTGTCTTTAACAACTAGCTCAGAAGATTGTTAAGAGGCTAACAGACCATAGAATTTAATCTAAAATGAATAAATGTACAGTTTGAACACCCCTGGTCAGATTACATGTTGCTGATTTTGCAGCTGAAAACTGCAAAAAACAATTTACAAAATCTACAGAATCTACAATCTACAACAACAATTTGTGTTTATTTGCTGAATTTAACATATTGGGAAAAAAGCAAAACATAAATTATAAATTTTGTCATGACTTTTGCACAGGCCACATTTTATGCCTTATTTTTTTCCAATATATTAAAATTCAGTAAATAAACAGTAATTGTGTATTAAAGTGTGCAGCAGTGTGTCTCTGCAGAGGACGTGTAACCTGTCTACACTCAAAAAATCAACATCATAGAATTTGATCAGGGCACCTAAACCTTCTTTTACATATGACTGTATTTAAAATTATGGTTAATGTAATGTAATTGTAAATTGTTGTTATGGATAGTTTAATCCATCCATCCATCCATCATCTAAACCGCTTATCCTTCAGGGCCTGGGTTTGATTCCCGGGTGGGTGACCAGGGTCATTTCTGTGTGGAGTTTGCCTGTTCTCCCCGTGTCTGCGTGGGTTTCCTCCGGGTACTCCGGTTTCCTCCCACAGTCCAAAAACATGCAGTCAGGCTGATTGGACATGCTAAATTGCCCCTAGGTGTGAGTGTGTGTGTGAATGTGTATGTCTGTTTGTCTGCCCTGCGATGGACTGGCGACCTGTACAGGGTGTATCCTGCCTTCCGCCCAATGACGGCTGGGATAGGCTCCAGCACCCCACCGCGACCTGGATAGTTTAATGCTAGAGCTAAAAGTGTTATATGAGGTAACTTATGTCTCTTCAGTGATGATTTGCCAAACTGCTCATGGTCAAGTTAAATTCATTTACACTTTAGTTAACCTTAACCTTTGACCAGAACTGGAGCTATAAAAGTCCCTGACTATAAGTCAAATTTGACATGCTGATCTATCAGAGGCACTTCATCACCCACAATCTATACAATTCAATATACAATAAATAATGCGAAAGCATAAACAAAAAAAGCAATAAAGTTAGAAAAGAAAGAACTTGCCTGGTCAGGTATGCAGTGCTTATCTGTGCTTCTGATGACAATCAGTCTTGGAAATGAAACTTCTGACTGACTGATCGTGGCTTTAACCTACTATGCAGCATAGGGGGAGGCACTTACTGGAGTATGCGGGGGGGCGTGAATGATTTTTTTAAATGTGCATTGAGGTTATTTATAGACTAATATCTCCATTTCTAGTGAACTGAATACATTTACGTTTTTTCTCTGAGGTGATGGTCAGTGGAAATAATGTATATACTGTAAATTCGATGCATCAAAGAGAAAACAGTAACATTTAGTAATCTTAATCCGCACCAGGACCACCAGCCTCGCTCAGTCAGTCCCCACCAACCTGTCAGACATACAGCTGTAAATGAAGCTTTAACACATCACCATTTCCTCCATTTCACCATTTCCAGTCAGCCTTGCTTCTTTCTTCCTGGAGGCTGAAGCTGGACATCAGTTGGAAGATGAAGTGCCTCTAATAGATCAGCATGTCAAATTTCACTTATTATCAGGGACTTTTATTGGGGCTGCAGTTCCAACTCTGGTCAAAGGTTAATGAAAGTGTAAATTAATTTAACTCGACCAAACAATAGTACTGTGCACCCAAACTAAATAACTTCAACAGTGGAACTGATTGCTGTTGTGAGCAAGATCAGTACATTTTCAACCGATGTCCAGCTTCAGCCTCCAGGAAGAAAGAAGCAAGGCTGGCAGTCCTTGGAGGAAATGGTGATGTGTTAAAGCTTAATTTACAGCTGTATGTCTGACCGATTGCTGGGACTGCAGAGAGGCTGCTGGTCCTGGTGGGGGTCTATTTGTCATCATAATTTAGATTTAGATTACTAAATGTTTTTTTTTTCTCTTTGATGCATTGAATTTACAGTATATACACTATTTCCACTGACTATCACCTCAGAGAAAAAAAGTAAATGTATTTAGGTTGTAAAATGTCTTTTTTCATGAATTAGACTTTCCGAACAAAGTCTAATGAATGTAGACATTAGGTTTGTAACTAGAGAAGGTTGAACTCAAAGTTCCTAGCTTAGATTGCTTTACTGATTGCTGCTGCATGTTTTGACCATCACCATCTTTCACCATCAACCTCCTTCCACCTGCTACACCCCCACACAGCGATTTGGTTTTTTGATGCATATCTTCATGGAATCCTTACTAGATGAAGATACACTTTCAGGTCATGCAAATGCGGGATGAAGATGTGCTGATTGGGAATGAAGATGTGCTTTCTGTTTATATGGTAAACAAAATGGTTTACAGTGGCTCAGTGGCTGTAAATGTTGGTAACAACAATGAATAACATTTGACATGCCTTGAAGGATCAGGGCCATCATTTCTTTAAACAGAGACGGCAACAAAATTGGAATAATCCCTTATGTGTAATGAAAGCTGTGAGGTCGTGGTTGTCTGGATACCGGGATAGTTTGGTTACCTCTCCAAGCCGACAGTCGAATGAACAGTAGATCCAGCCAACATATTGAGCAATTCCTCTACGTGAGGAAGCAATACGCTGTTGTCGGCAGAAAACCTCTTATCTCCAAAATGGCAACTTTACAGGAGAAGGAAAAAACCTACTTTGCTTTTAATGTAAGTCAATGGAACCAGACTTTTTTCCAAGTCATTTTGAGCCGTTTCATTTGGTCCATTCTTCATGAAATTTACACACAATGTAAAGGGCAACAGGCATTTTCAAATGATGTTAAAAACTAAAAAAACAAAACAAAAAATGGAGATACAAGGTTTTGTTCCACCAGAGGCAAACAGCTGTCTACAACTAGTTAACCAAATTCAAGTGACTGTTGGGTTCAATTTCACTACCACACCCAGGCACAACTACTGCCAGACCTGTTGAATCTAAAATCACTTAAATAGAGCCTGTCTGGCAGTGTGAAGCAGTTAGAAGGTCTCATAACAGCTTCAAATACAGATGTGAAACAAAGCCATTGAAATTTGCCAGCCTGGAAAGGGTTACAGCCATGGTTAAAGCCATTACTGAGGGGATTCTGGGACTACAGAGCAATTGTCCACAAATGGAGAAACGTTGAAACAGTGGTGACCCTTCTGACAGTTTATTATTTGTCATGTTTAATATTATTTGAACACAAGCCTGTTATTTGTAGGGCCACAGTAAACCAATCACACAGTAGATACAACTTGTAAAGGGTCAGCCTGTGCTGCTGGGCTCCAGGACTCCAAGAGACTCAAAATCCCAGAACATCAAGGAAAAATCAGTGCCACCCGGGCACACCTGTTGGTATCACCATTTAAGGCTGTAGCTCACCCTTGTCAGACCTTCGTAGACAGAGAAGAAAAGAGACTCCTCAGCTCTCCTTTGAGAGGTGTTTTCGTTTGGTCGTTTAGTCGGTTTCTTGAATTTATCCGTTGCTTGTGTGACACCATTTTGGGGTCTCCTTTGTTTGTTTTCCTGCCTTTCTTCTCCCACCATTCAGAGGGGTGTAATTCTGCTTGTCACTTGTGCTCCGTGGTGGCACAGTAGTAGTGGTGTAGTGTTGTATTGCCTTTTTTATGACTGTGTAAATTAACCCAAATCAATATTACAGAGTAATTCGCTGGTCTTCTTTGTCCATTAAATGAAGATTCTTGACCTCTTTGATAATACTAAACATTACATTACTCCCTTTGCTCCATGAGAAAAAATGAAATAATGAAAATAATTTTGTTTTTAGCTGAATTCTTGCCCTGTCTCTCTAGTGGGCTCTGTGTAAGAGCCAGTTTGAGGCATAAGCAGAGCCATTAGGCCTGGCATGTTTAAGAGCCTGTTTTTCTATTCAGCAGCGTCGAGCGCAAAGCCTTTTTCTGCAGGCCCCCTAGTGGTCGCCATACTGTGATAAAACTGACAAGTACGGCTTTCTTTATCTCAAACACTCCTGCACAACTGACACAATAGACAACATTCACACACAATTAAACACTTTTAGAAATGTTGACCTACTCGCTCACCTTCAAAGATGACCCACTAGTTCACTTTCAGGTTTTAAATCATTCTCTCTTCCATCCAAATAAAGGCAAAATTAAATGAAACTCAGGAATTTTTCACGTCTTTCAAAGCTGAACATTGTATACTGTGATGTTTGTTTCTTGTAATGAACAGTGTTTGCCAGTAGAGGGCAGGAGTAGACCAGTATGACCTTCTGAAACATGCAGTGCTTATATGATCCAGATCATCAAAGGCAGTATTTAAATCCACCACTTATACATAATCACATTATCTGTGGTGCCACTATACAATTTATATAATATATACATGGGAAGAAACGATTTATTGGCAAATATTATTTATTCTAAGCAAAATGATCACTACATATAATTACCTTATATAAGTAAAAAATATTATTGTTACGATTCTGAAAAATACATTATGTAACTAGAAATAAATACTGCATTAGTCTTAAAAAAAAGAAAAAATAGAATTATTGGGTATACTGACTAGATTTTGATGGTTTAATTTGTCAAGAGATCATTTTTTGCAGTTTATAATATCAGGTCTGGCTGTGGAGCTCCAGCTGTTATTTCTTCTTCCTCTCAAGCTTTCTCTTCCTAAATGTAATAATAATAAAAAGTTAATGCCTTTTAAATCTGCTTCAAAGTTCTGCATATCAGTTAAGTGGTTCCATCCAAAGAAAATCGTTCACATGCACAGCTGCGTATATAAGGATATAAACAATCTGGCAGCTGAGATTTTGATTTTAAGTGATATTTTTCTTAATCCTTCTTGACTGCATTGTTAATATTTACACTCTGAACTGCTCATTTCACTCTGGGAGAAACAGAGAGTTTTGTTTTTTATTCTTTCCCTACCTGTCTGGTGGGCTCCTCTGCCTAATAGTTGATTCGAGGCATATATCTTACATTTACATTACGTGATGCAGCTCTGAGCGTTAATGTAAAGCCACAGTCTGCTTTCCCACCCCTAGATTTAGCGTTGTTGTGTGTTTAAAGCGATAGTTTAGCTTATTCCCACAGTTTTTTCCATGCTTACCCCAAATGTAGTCAGTCAGCCTAGACGTGTTTAGTGTCTAAAGTTCAGTTCTTTAGTTTCAGCACTGGAGCTACGAGGCTAATGTAGCTAACAAGTCATGAAAGCTTATACCCCATTAAAGCATGGTGCTAACTTAGCATACGCTGACATACTTTAGTCCATGTTTAAATAGTCATACAGTGTCAAACTACAAATATTGGAAATTACCTACCAGCTTCATGCTAACTGGTTGCTTGTTAGCTACATTAGCCTCATAGCTCCAGTGCTGAAACTAAAGAACTTCAGACAACAAACACGTCTCAGCTGACCGACTTGATTTTTGGTGCAACATTTAAAACTATACAAAATTTTTTTCCTGTTTTTAAGTGATTAACTGAATAAATCTGTATTATTAATTTATATCTGTAGATATTTAAAACAAATTACACCTACAAGATGTTCAGTGCAGACATACATGTTTGAGAACTGATAAAATATGCATACAGGACAATTTAAAGCAAACAAAAAAAGAAATTCTGGGAACCGTGTTCACATTAATCAGACCAAAGATTTAGATGTTAGGTGCTGAGGTGGACTAGTCATCTTTCACACATGATCTTTTAGCAAACTTTAATGAAACAGTTAATATTTATCTTTAGATAAAACATTTTAAACATTTATCACATTGATCACTGTAAAGTCCCAACGCTAGTGAGTAAATATGACTGATTTTTAATGACTGTTGTGTTTAATTTGACTGATACATCAAGATAACTGTCAGCAGCTTAGCTAAGAAAAGCTGTATGATCTTATTATTGTTTTTAAGCTTCATTTATCTTTGGAGAACATATTAAAATGATACAGCAAAATGTAATAATCCATATATCCTAGTAACCCAGATTACTGCCACAGCAAATCACCTGACTGATGTGGAAAAGAGTATACGATATAAAACCGGCCAATGTTAGCATTTTGCTAAGCCAACAAAGATGCTAGTGGAAACTAGCATTATCGTAGTTTCAACTAGCATCTTTGTTGGCTTAGCAAAATGCTAACATTGGCCGCTCTGGCACAGATGTGTTTGGATAGCCATATATTCTAATTACCTCATAGCAGGATTGATGTAATTAGGGGTGGGCAATATGACGATATATCATCATCACGATAAATTATGTCACATTAAGGTCTTCCAAGTATATTGTGGGTATCATCAGTACTTACACTGACCCTTACATGTTAAAAAGAGGGTAAGAAAGGCTCTTAACTGGCGTAGCTGTCTAAATATCCAACCGTACAGTTGGGAGATTGTGAGTTTGAATCCTGGCTAAGTTTGGAGTTCAAGAGAGCAGAATTAGCCCTGGATGTAGTTATGAAACAATGTCTTAAGAAAAAATATTATATTGATATGATGTTATATTTCTGCCTTATCGCCCACCCCGATCTTGTTTGTGTTGAAAGGCTACATTTGGGTCACAGTAAAAAGTGTCCCCCTTATTTTTGAGCATTTTTGAAAGTTGAACTAGGATTGGAGTTATCTGAAAACAGAGATGGCATTATTCATCCCAGAATTCTATTTTCATAACTGATCGGCCTCCAGCAGACATTGTTGCCTTCACAAGAACACCTCTTCCAGAATATGTTAAGGTGCTTCCTGTACTTTTGCATCTGGTGAAAGGACCAGTGTCATAATACATCTTAGAGAAAAGAGCTTCATCACATGGAATCTCTTGTTTATAAATGCCCAGAGCAAACCAGTTTTCGTACCAGTTGTAGTCAAAAGGCACAGAGAACATGATGGCCAGTTCAGCAACAAAGCACTTTTCATCTCTGAGCATTTGGTACGTCAGGACCCCGACAGCACCACGAGCTACACGTGCAGTTTTGGAGAAGGCGCACACTGCTGTGGTGTTTTTTGCGATCGTAGGCTGTGGAGGATGGAAACAGTATCCACTGGTGGTGTGAGCCCTGATATACAAAAAGAGAATTCATATTATTCATATACAGTAAATGCAGTATTTACATTTAAAAATATACTGACTTTTATGAATGACCATCAGAATGAATTGGTCTGTACCTACTTTGGATTTGCTAAGATGTACTTTTGACTGTGATTGGTGATTTCAATGGTGACATTTCTCCCAGTCTTCATACTCTGGGATATCTGATCAATAGAGGTGCCAGTCGGGGACGTGCCAGCGGTAGCAGCTATAGTACTCATTGTCTGTTATGAGCCAGAAAAGATATAAATAAACACACACACACATATATATATATATTGGGATGCTGTGCAGAATGTAAATAAAAATAGAATGCAATAATATGCAAATCAAGTAAACCACATTTTCAAAGGAAAATACTACAAAGACAACATATCAAATGTTGAAACGGAGAAATTTGATTGTTTTTTAAAAATACATGCCCACTAGGAATTTGATACAAATAATTGTGATTTCCACTACAGAATCAATAGCCAGCAAATACTGTTTTTTGGCCTTGTCCCTTGCATACAGAGATTTCTCCAGATTCTCTGAATCTTTTAATGATATTGTGTACTGTAGATGAAGAAAAGCAAAAGTTTTAAAAGCTATTTTATGTTGAGAAACGTTATTCTGGAATTGATGCACTATTTGCCTGCACAGTCTTTCACAGAGTGGTGAACCCCTCCTCATCTTTACTTCTGAAAGACTCAGCCTCTCTGGGATGCTTTTTTACACACAATCATGTTACTGACCTGTTGCCAATAAACCACCAGGTGCTTTTTGGCATTATACAACTTTACCAGCCTTTTGTTGACACTGTCACAACTTTTTTGGAACATGTTATTGGCATCAAATTCAAAATGGGCAAATAGTTTTCAAAAAACAATACAATTTCTCAACATTTGATCTGTTGTTATTGTACTATTTTAAATTAAACATAGGGTGTAAATGATTTGCACATCATTGCATCTTGTTTTTATTTACATTTTGCACAGAGGTAGGGAAATAGGATTATATATATGCTATATACATACATATATATATATATTATTATATGATTCTTCTTTTATATAATGATTCCTTCACAGAGACAATGCACACTGCTTGTATTTACTTTTTCCCTCAAAGTCTGTTTATGACATGTAAAGGAGTTGTAATTTATATTTATATTTACATGCCTATTTTTCAACCTCTCTTTATCCCTATGTCAAAAAGACAGTTTTGTTCTGGTGCCTTTAAGACTGATATACAGCAATGAGCTCTGTTCTGACTGGCTGCCCTGTATTGTGTCACATACAAGAAGCACTCAAGCTTAAAACTGATCACATTGATTTATCAATCTACTCAGGCTTTAGCATACCTAGATGTGACTAGATGTGCCTAGCCTTATATAAAATGTTCATGACTTACTATATGGAGTGGTTTGACCCAAAAGGATGATTGGCTGGAGAAGACGGTGGAAAGAATTCATAAAGTACCACTTGATTGATAATGTTAATACTATTCAGAATGACCACTGATCATTCTTTGGTATTGTTGTGGGACTTATCTCCCCAGTATATATTCAGAACCAACAGCCAATATCCTATTACAGACTTAATTCATGCCTGTGGCAGCACTCTTATGTCAAAGCATTTGTGTTTTGTCATAGTACAAAACTAAAATAACACACAGTAGTAAGACACTAAGTAAGATGCTTGCCAGTATACATATTTAACGTTCAACATTGAGAGATACACATGTGAAAAGCTGATCCTCCCAGCCAGAGAATCTCCCAGCAAATTTTGACAGTGTTAGCTCATTAAACTGGGTACTATCAGAGCCAGTTTAAGGGGAGTCTGGCCATTTCCTGTTTCTCCCATTATGTCAAAAACATAACTGTAGAATGTTACAGGATATCCACAAACAAGTCCTCATATGAATGGAAGAGGATGGAGCTAAGTGGCTAAAAAAGAAGAAATTAAACATTCTAGCAGTAAATCTGGGAACTTTAGTTTTGGAAAGGTGCTAAAGTGTTAACATATAACTGATGTGTTTTAATATTTTATTTTAATTAATATTTTATTTTAGATTTTTAATACGTCATGCTGTTCAGAAAAGCAGAGCATTTTGTATGTTGTAATAAAAAATAGTCCCCAAAGAAAACTTATTATTCCAGATTTATCACTATTTTCCCATCATCAACATTCCCTATAAAACTCTGAAGACTCGTGTAGGTTCACTGGTGGATTTGGATAGTAAATAAAATGACTATATTTGTGTTGTAGTCATGGCGACCCCTGGTTCCTATCACCACCACTGTAAAGACCTCTGAACCATTTCACACCAAACCACTCTGAATCACTCTGTTTACATTTCACACATTGAATTATACAGATAATTTTGAAAAGTGAAATAATGAAAAGATTCCACTTTGTGGCTGCTGTCAGCTTTCAAAGCTTTGTGTATATGTCACATATAAAATTATCTCTTACATATTACATATGGCTAGTATTTCTGTGATAATGCATACAGTTAGAAAATGACATACCTATAAATGGCTCAGCTGTCCTTTGGGCAACAGTGAATCATGGAAATGAAACTCTTGACTGACTGGCTGCAGCTATTAACATCTACCCAGTCCTTATGCAGGAGGAGTAGATGGAAAACCCAAACCAACAGTTCTGCTAGTTTTGAAACTGAAGTTGCGGTTTTTCTTATTCTGGCGTTACGAGTACCCCCCACAGACACTGGAGAAGCAACATATATGATGCAACAGGAAAGCGGACAGCAAGAAGGTTGCACTGAATTTATTTTAATATGTAAATATTCACATTTTGTGTCTAATACATAACATCCTAATGCAGTCATCCCCAACCCTGGTCCTGGAAATCTACCTTCTACTCATTTTTTATTCATCAAGGTACAGTGTAAACGTGCCTCAAAGGTACAACAGTGGTTTTAAGGCACAGTTGTGCTCCTTAAATTGGTTTTTCACAGGTGAAAAGTACATATTTGTATCTTTTCATAACCTACTGTTTTAAAACAGAGCAATGAAATAAAAAGCCTGTAGACGAGACGGGGTGTGTGAACATATACAACTTAGAACATATAATTTCAATGGATTACAATAAAATTATGTTCCCTGACTAAAGGTACTAGGATGTACTTTTCAGGGTTCTACCCCAGTGACAAGAGGGGCACTGGATCAGATGCATTAGAATTAGCTAAGAGTGTAGCAGTATGTTAGATGCAGGTTGGAACCAAGGCTGGACTGGGAACTAAAGTCAGCCCTGGACTATTTTCTAGACCAGCCCACTACAACCACAGAGCCCCCCTAACTCTCTGTGATGAAGCTCGCTATCATAGTTACAGTGAGCATACGTAACATATAACAGTAAACACAGTTTATCTCTTTAAAATACATGAGCATGAACACATCAAAGTTTCTGTACCTTAGTGTACAAGAAGACTGAATGCAGCGGCTAACTTACTCCTTCTGCACTTCAGCCCTGCGGTTCGTCACTCTGATATCCAAAGAAATCACATAGACTAGCCGATGACCACACATTAAGAATGCAGTGGATCACTAACATATATGTGCAGATATGTGCACTCCAGTGCTCGCCTGGTAGAGACAGTTTGTCCAAAGGTCTGCATTAATTTTATATAGGACTACATTAGAAACCACTATGCATTTCCCTCTTTCTCACTCTCTCAGTGGCCCACGCACATAGCAGTCCACTGAGAATTCTACTGGTCCAACCAATGGTTAATCCATCCCTGGTTGGAAGTAAACTCTGCAGGAGCGCAGATCTGGAGGAACAGGGCTGGTGACCACTGCACTCATGCATAATGTGTTGGGGTGTTTCTAAAAAATGCAATGTCAGCAGAAAGACAGGACATGTACAGTATACATGGTTATAATTTATGCTGGGGTTTCCACACCACTTCCTGAAAGCATCATTTCTCAAAAGTCACTGATAAAATTGCTTACTGATCCAAAAACATCACTAAACCATACAGAAAAGTCTTCAGTCATTCTTCACCATTAATCTAATAATTTTGCAGGTAAATTCACTGTATTTATTTGCATACTGCTCTTTCTCATATGGAACAAAAATATTTGCCAAATGTATTTATCAAATATATTTTTGCAATATTTAAAATTTAAAATGTGTTCAGTTGTGTGTAGCTGTAATAAAGGTCACTGATGTAACTAAACGGTTCTGACTTCTGTGATCTGCATTGTACTTTATATTAACCATGTATGCAGTAAGACACTCGCACAATGTATTTCAAATGAACAAGTTATCAAATCATAACTGCATTTTCACAGAGTATCAATACCCACAACACTCGCTTTTGTCATGTTAAAGGTTCATTTGATCATATTTAAAATATACAAATTCATTTCTAAAGGTATCAGACAGTAAAGTGCATTAGACAGGATTTTGGATATTTTCATACATTTTCAAGTGTGTTTGTTAAATACATTAACATACATTTATTTTTATCATTTTATTTTATAATATATTTATAAATTTAAAAAGATATTTGGTTTATATGACAATATGTTCTGAAATATATTTGTGTTTGGAATGTATTTCAGCATTGACTGCAGTGTATTTGAAATATATTTCAAATATACAAAAATCTGGGAACTTTAGTTTTGGAAAGGTGCTAAAGTGTTAACATATAACTGATGTGTTTTAATATTATATTTTAATTAATATTTTATTTTAGATTTTTAATACGTCATGCTGTTCAGAAAAGCAGAGCATTTTGTATGTTGTAATAAAAAATAGTCCCCAAAGAAAACTTATTATTCCAGATTTATCACTATTTTCCCATCATCAACATTCCATATAAAACTCTGAAGACTCGTGTAGGTTCACTGGTGGATTTGGATAGTAAATAAAATGACTATATTTGTGTTGTAGTCATGGCGACCCCTGGTTCCTATCACCACCACTGTAAAGACCTCTGAACCATTTCACACCAAACCACTCTGAATCACTCTGTTTACATTTCACACATTGAATTATACAGATAATTTTGAAAAGTGAAATAATGAAAAGATTCCACTTTGTGGCTGCTGTCAGCTTTCAAAGCTTTGTGTATATGTCACATATAAAATTATCTCTTACATATTACATATGGCTAGTATTTCTGTGATAATGCATACAGTTAGAAAATGATATACCTATAAATGGCTCAGCTGTCCTTTGGGCAACAGTGAATCATGGAAATGAAACTCTTGACTGACTGGCTGCAGCTATTAACATCTGCCCAGTCCTTATGCAGGAGGAGTAGATGGAAAACCCAAACCAACAGTTCTGCTAGTTTTGAAACTGAAGTTGCGGTTTTTCTTATTCTGGCGTTACGAGTACCCCCCACAGACACTGGAGAAGCAACATATATGATGCAACAGGAAAGCGGACAGCAAGAAGGTTGCACTGAATTTATTTTAATATGTAAATATTCACATTTTGTGTCTAATACATAACATCCTAATGCAGTCATCCCCAACCCTGGTCCTGGAAATCTACCTTCTACTCATTTTTTATTCATCAAGGTACAAATAATGTAAATGTGCCTCAAAGGTACAACAGTGGTTTTAAGGCACAGTTGTGCTCCTTAAATTGGTTTTTCACAGGTGAAAAGTACATATTTGTATCTTTTCATAACCTACTGTTTTAAAACAGAGCAATGAAATAAAAAGCCTGTAGACGAGACGGGGTGTGTGAACATATACAACTTAGAACATATAATTTCAATGGATTACAATAAAATTATGTTCCCTGACTAAAGGTACTAGGATGTACTTTTCAGGGTTCTACCCCAGTGACAAGAGGGGCACTGGATCAGATGCATTAGAATTAGCTAAGAGTGTAGCAGTATGTTAGATGCAGGTTGGAACCAAGGCTGGACTGGGAACTAAAGTCAGCCCTGGACTATTTTCTAGACCAGCCCACTACAACCACAGAGCCCCACTAACTCTCTGTGATGAAGCTCGCTATCATAGTTACAGTGAGCATACGTAACATATAACAGTAAACACAGTTTATCTCTTTAAAATACATGAGCATGAACACATCAAAGTTTCTGTACCTTAGTGTACAAGAAGACTGAATGCAGCGGCTAACTTACTCCTTCTGCACTTCAGCCCTGCGGTTCGTCACTCTGATATCCAAAGAAATCACATAGACTAGCCGATGACCACACATTAAGAATGCAGTGGATCACTAACATATATGTGCAGATATGTGCACTCCAGTGCTCGCCTGGTAGAGACAGTTTGTCCAAAGGTCTGCATTAATTTTATATAGGACTACATTAGAAACCACTATGCATTTCCCTCTTTCTCACTCTCTCAGTGGCCCACACACATAGCAATCCACTGAGAATTCTACTGGTACAACCAATGGTTAATCCATCCCTGGTTGGAAGTAAACTCTGCAGGAGCGCAGATCTGGAGGAACAGGGCTGGTGACCACTGCACTCATGCATAATGTGTTGGGGTGTTTCTAAAAAATGCAATGTCAGCAGAAAGACAGGACATGTACAGTATACATGGTTATAATTTATGCTGGGGTTTCCACACCACTTCCTGAAAGCATCATTTCTCAAAAGTCACTGATAAAATTGCTTACTGATCCAAAAACATCACTAAACCATACAGAAAAGTCTTCAGTCATTCTTTACCATTAATCTAATAATTTTGCAGGTAAATTCACTTTATTTATTTGCATACTGCTCTTTCTCATATGGAACAAAAATATTTGCCAAATGTATTTATCAAATATATTTTTGCAATATTTAAAATTTAAAATGTGTTCAGTTGTATGTAGCTGTAATAAAGGTCACTGATGTAACTAAACGGTTCTGACTTCTGTGATCTGCATTGTACTTTATATTAACCATGTATGCAGTAAGACACTCGCACAATGTATTTCAAATGAACAAGTTATCAAATCATAACTGCATTTTCACAGAGTATCAATACCCACAACACTCGCTTTTGTCATGTTAAAGGTTCATTTGATCATATTTAAAATATACAAATTCATTTCTAAAGGTATCAGACAGTAAAGTGCATTAGACAGGATTTTAGATATTTTCATACATTTTCAAGTGTGTTTGTTAAATACATTTACATACATTTATTTTAATCTTTTTATTTTATAATATATTTATAAATTTAAAAAGATATTTGGTTTATATGACAATTTGTTCTGAAATATATTTGTGTTTGGAATGTATTTCAGCATTGACTGCAGTGTATTTGAAATGTATTTGAAATGTATAAAAATCTGGGAACTTTAGTTTTGGAAAGGTGCTAAAGTGTTAACATATAACTGATGTGTTTTAATATTATATTTTAATTAATATTTTATTTTAGATTTTTAATACTTCATGCTGTTCAGAAAAGCAGAGCATTTTGTATGTTGTAATAAAAAATAGTCCCCAAAGAAAACTTATTATTCCAGATTTATCACTATTTTCCCATCATCAACATTCCATTTAAAACTCTGAAGACTCGTGTAGGTTCACTGGTAGATTTGGATAGTAAATAAAATGACTATATTTGTGTTGTAGTCATGGCGACCCCTGGTTCCTATCACCACCACTG